GACCACATGTGCTAAATGACGTGTGTGGACCACATGTGCTAAATGACATGTGGCAGAAAACGTACATGCATCATGGAAACATGAACCTCTCAGCTGTGAAACATGGTGGTGGCAGCATCATGCTGCTGTGGGATGCTTTTCTTCAGCAGTTTGATATCTGTCTCATCATATCTCTGTTAGTGTTAAGTTTGTGGTTGGAACGTGGCAACATGTGGATAAAGTAAAAGCTATTTTCTCTGTAAAGCTCCAGTAGCAGCTTAACGGGTAAATCTAGAGCAGGTTTAATTAATTCAATTACTGATAATAAACCAACAAGAGAGCAGTTTGTTGTTATCTGCAGTCTGTTTTTCATATGTTGGCCTGTTTTAGGAGCTGTGACCTGATGGATTTTAACGAACAGAAAATGACGACTTGTTCTGGTGTCAGTTCACGCTGTCTCGGTTCTTTGTCGTGCACGTGTGTGCAAAGAAATCCGGTACATCCAGCGCACAGGTGGTTCTGAGGCTAAACAGGTTCTAATTATGTTCTGCTGAACCCGACCACAGTGACCAGCTGAACCGTTCGGTTTGATAAATAACGCGGAAAAACCCGGCTAACCCACTTGACTTCCCGAACACATTGTTTCTGAAGCCCCATGGAGGCACAGCGGCTCTCCATCCAGACACAGACAACAACAGTCACAACAGCCAATCAAATCTCTCTCCATCTCCGCCGCGGAAATCAACAGCCAATCAGCTACTCATCTGGTGCTGCCGTGGAAACGAGCAGCCAATCAGCGGCTGATGTCTGGACCTCACGGAGTAGCCGCCTGACCAATCAGCGCCCTCGTCGGGCTTCAACGAGGAGCGGAGGGTCTGCCGAGGCCCAATCAACGGTTTAGTGTTGCCTGCCGGTGCCGGGGACTGGTGGTAAGAATCCGCTGCAGCGCGTCAGGAGGACCGGACCGCGAACCCGGAGACGGTACATACTGAGGCGAAAGGAGACGCAGGTGAGTCCGAGGATCTGCGGCAGGGCCTGGATTTGAGTCGGAGGTGTTCGGGGCTCGGCGGCGTCAGGAGGCTGTGTAATTAGCGGCGGTGTGTTTTTCTTCCGCCGGTGGGTGAGTCGGTTCCGTGAAACGCTATCAGACAATAGAGCGCGTTGGCTTCGCTGTTTATTGATGCGGGCTGACATGTTGGCGACCAGAACCGCCGCCTCGAACCATTAATTCACCGCGAAAGGTGTAACGGAGTCACGGCGGGGACGCTTACCGCCGTCCCGACCGAAGGCTTCTTCACACCGAGCGGTTTGGCTTTTAATGACCGAGGGGCTGCGATGTTATTCGGAGAGCCTCCGATCCGTTTCATTGTTTGATCCGGAGTCTCAAGGGGTTAACTCGGGCTGGGGGAAAAAGACAGCCCGCTGATTAACAGGTCTGTGGAGCCGGGCAGCCCGGGGGAGAGGCGCTAAACCGGGCCGTGCTCCGGCTGAAGGAGGCCGAGGCGAGGGGGTGATGGCCCTCAGCAATTAGAAGAAAAATGTGAAATGCATCAGCCATTAACGAGGAGCTCAGCTGGCTCCATATGCACCTAAATGGCTGCCTGGCGGAACAGCCGGTTCTGGGCCCCAGGAGGCCGGGCCGTCCTGACCCGGAGGGTTCGGAGAAGTAGATGACTGTTAAACAAAGTGGAATCCATTTTTATTATTCTGCTGTAAACACAGGCTCATCTGCTGAGGAGCTGCTGTCTCCTCCTGCTGGATTTGCATGAGTCACATGCAAATGGAGTCTCATCTGGTTCCTATCACTTGGGTTCTGTTGGGCCGACTCGGAACTGGAGAAAGGCCACACTTGGTAAAGTTAGGAGGGAAAAAGTAAAGACATTTTCTGGGGGGGTGATTTTTCTGTTTTACAAAAGCTGCCAGTCTGGTTGTGAATTTGTCATCTACGGTGTCCTGTAAGGATGGTTGCACACATTTTAAGGCGTCAATGTCTCGTCACTTTCCCTTCTCTGGAGGGGGTATCTCAATGAGACTAGCTGCTTCCTGGGGGGTGGGGGGTCTCCAGAAGGTTTTCATGGGACTTCTCAGCTTCCAGAGCTGTTCTGTTGCTTGTTTGATCAACAAGTTCTGTCTTGAAATGATCACAAAGTTCCCAGAGAACCTGGAAAATGACTTTCACATGTTCCATTCAGGGAGAACTGAACCCTGATCTGTTGATTAAACGATGATCTTTTTGAGATTATTTAACGTGTTCATGCATTAATGCTGGTATCAATGAGGACATGTCCTTTCTGACTGGCTCTGTCTGGAGGCGTTTTAGTTGCTGCTGTTATACAATATAATTGATTAGGAATGATTATTATTATTAGGAAACGATTTCCCTTTGGGATTAATACAAGTATTAGTTTTTTTTTATTGAATTGAATTGAATTACAGCATGCACGTACCGTAGGCTACAGTCTACGTCCTGTAACTCATAATGTTCAAGTCGCATACAGTTAATCTTTTGCTCGTCGTCTAAGATGCTACGTTCCTGAGATTTCAGGATTACATTTGGGGCGAAAACTCAATGAATTTTGATTTCATGAGCTACGAACACAAAAGTCGTCGACGGCACCTCCATCCTGTCTCAACTGTATTTAAGACACCTGACGGAAAACATGCAGCGTCTAAAAACGGTGCCATAATCCGTTATTGTCGATGTAAAACCGGTCCGCATCGGCCCGTCTTTGTTTCAGTTGTGCAGTCCCGAAGATGAAGCTCAAACGTACGTGCGGTTGCCATCCATCCTTCCTCTTTGACCCGCCTCTTCCTGTCTGGGTGCCCAGGTCCAGCAGTCGCTGCGAGAGGCTGGGGACACCTTGGACAGGTCTCCAGTCCATCACAGGGACACGTTGATACAACCACTCACACCTAGGCACAATTTAGAGTCGCCAACCATCCTAATGTGGAGGGTTTTGGTCTGGGAGGAAAGCCATGCATGCACAGAGAGAACATCTCCACAGAAAGGTCCCCAGCGCCATGTGGGTACAAAGTACACCAAGGTGTGTGGAGGTGGGCAGTAAACTGTGCCGTACACTCAAAAAAGGCTGTTTTTAAAACTGCAAATGCAGACGCACGGCTCATGGGTCACTCGGTCACAAACGTGGTGTGAATTGAGGCCGCAGCTGAAAATTCACACGTTCTCACAGTACCCAGAGATTTATTTTACCCACTAGTCTCCCAGCAGCTACCGCTCAGTGAGACGCCACCTGTAGCGAAGTTAGGATGCTTTGTCGTTTCCCATCAGTCTTTTCAGCAGTGCGCACCCAGCTGTTAGCTTCAGGTCGCGTCTCGAAGACGTGCGATCGTGTCACAGTGTGAACGTAGAAGTAAATGAAGGCTTCGGTTCTTTCCCGTGTGCTCGCAGGGGACGGCGGCTCTGAATGAATGAACTTTGTTGAAGTGAGTGAATGGAGGGACTCTCATCACATGCTGTCCAGCTCAGATTAGTGCAGTTGATCGTCTCGTTTCCACTCACTCCTGCGGAAGAACAACAGAAATCTTATCTTTGTGGAGATTTTAACTGTCTGATAAAGTCTGCAGACAAGTATTGATGGTCCTGTCTTCTGCTGTTAAACACCTGTTTTTTACAAAGACAATTAGACGGTTTGGATTTATGCTTTGTGTCATTTTAATGCACAAGGTATACAGGGCTATGTCTGGCTGAAATCACTAATTCAAAATATAATACAAAAGTTCACATGATGAGCTTTGTAATAACTGCTCAAACTTTTATAAAGTTAAAGTTAATTTAAGATTTCACGTCTCTGCTCAGATCAGCTATAGATGTCTAGTCCAAATCGATTCAGCTCTTGTTTTCCACAATTCATGCAAATACAATTATTTAAACTTTTACACTCGGTCATACACTCCTGGCCAAAATGAAGTCGCCACCAAAAAATAAGGTCACACTAATATTTCGTTGGACCACCTTTAGCTTTGATGACATCATGCATTCACTGTGTCATTGTTTCAATAAACTTCTACAATGTCACAAGATCTGTTTCATCCAGTGTTGCATTAATTGTTCACCAAGATCTTGTATTGATGACTAGGCACTATGATGGGTGCATCACTTCACCTGCCTCTCTTCTTACCCTGATGTGTCCATCACTCTGGAACAGGGTCAGTCTGGACTCATCAGACCACATGACCTTCTTCCATTGCTCCAGAGTCCAATCTTTATGCTCCCTAGCAAACTGAAGCCTTTTTTTCCAGTTAGCCTCACTGGTTAGTGGTTTTCTTAAGGTTACACAGATGTTCAGTCCCAATCCCTTGACTTCCTTCACATAGTTCATGTGGAAATGTTCTTACTTTCACTACTAAACATGTGTGCTACTGTTGTTTTTCTTCGATTTGATTTCGCCAAACGTTTAAGTGATCACCGGTCAGGATCATTCAGGATTTTATTCCAGCCACATTTCTTCCTGGAAGACGATGGGTCCCCACTATCCTTCCAGTTTTAATAATGCGTTGGACAGTTCTTAACCCAATTTTAGTAGTTTCTTCAATCTCCTTAGATGTTTTCTCTGCTTGATGCCAGTGATTTGACCCTTCTCAAACAGACTGACATCTTTTCCACGACCACGCGATGTGTCTTTCAACATGGTTGTTTAAGAAATGAGAAGCAACTCATTGCACCAGTTGGGGATAAATAACTGGTTGCAGCTGAAAGTTAATCACCCAGGCAGTAATTATCTAATAGGAAGCTCGGACCTATTTACTTAGTTAAACCCAAGTGGCAACTTTTTTTTTTTTTTGGCCAGGCAGTGTATTTTACAACACACAATTTAGGCAGGAATGTTGTGAAAGTCGTTCTGGACATGACCCTTGGATGCCCTGGAAGTGCTACATCTTATCACTTCTGCTGCTGCTGTCTAAGCTTGTAAAGAACCTCAGGGTGAGTAACTGTAAAGTCAAAATAAACTGTTGGACTGCAACAGTTGGACACCTCTAATCCAGCCATCCATTATCTTTAAGCTATTTTTCCTTTCCAGGGGTCACTGGTGCCCATGTCCAGTTATCACTGTTAGAGGCAGGGGACACCTGGACGGGTTTCAGTCCATCACAGGGACACCTGGATGGGTCTCTGTCCATCACAGGGACACTTGGATGGGTCTCTGTCCATCACAGAGATGCCTGGATGGGTCTCTGGCCATCACAGAGACACCTGGATGGGTCTCTGGCCATCACAGAGACGCCCGGACGGGCCTCTGTCCATCACAGGGACGCCTGGACGGGCCTCTGTCCATCACAGGGACGCCCGGACGGGTCTCTGTCCAACACAGGGACGCCCGGA